TGCCTGTATGATCACCTCTATACAGACCCAAAAACTATGGCTCCTCATAGCTAATATTTCCCGATGTGCCAGGCACTGTTCTCACCACCTATGCAAATTAACTTACGTAATGCAGAGCGCTCAATTCAATTTGGCCCTCTTTTGCTCTAAAAAGCCGTAAATCCTAAACCAAAAGAAGCAGATCAAGTGCTTGGGTTGCAGGTCAGAAGTCATGCCAACTGATTCCTGTTCTCACTTGTGGAAAGTAACTGCTCAAAGATCTCTGCTCAGGAAGGCATGATGGCTTAGGAAAAAAAGCAAGCAACTCTCTTTCCCATAGCCACCTCACTCGGCACATCTTGGATTTGTCTCTAATGGATTCCACTGACTGGCCAGCACCCAAGAATCAGGATGGAAAAGGCACTTCGCCCCCTCGTTGACTCCTAAATCACATTTAATTCATATGCGAAAACATACTGGGAAATTTCCCCCGAACAACCCACCCGTCCTCCAGCCCAAGCACCCAATCACCGAGCTCATCTCAGTGTACTGGGACTGTTGAGAGATGTCTATTTTTATCTCATTTGATGGTCCATGCGCGAAGGACAGAATCTCTGCCACTTTTACATCACGTGTTCCAAGTGCCCAACTCTCTCCACAGCTAGCTATGGACATCCCAAAAGTTTGTTTATCTGTTGTTGGTGGCGGTGCCAGCAGTAGGGTGCAGCTTTTTCTGGACCGTCTCTGCTGTGAGGGAGGGATAATTACACGGCAGGAAGGCGATCCAGCCACAAACAGTGGGTAGAGAGTTGCGTTGCTTCCCCAAGCCAGAGTGTATCCTTGGTTTAAGAAGGGCAAAACCTCACGCTTGTGAAGATGGTGGACAATCCTATTGCCTGCGAACACCAAGGAGCAGGGGTCACGGAGCTGGGCCACCGAGCTTTGGTTTTCTAAGCAATGTGTCGTGACCGTTAGTTAAGTCACCCAACCTCTCTTGGCCTTTCCTATAAAAAGAAAATGCTAACATTCATCTCACTTACTTTCCAGGGGATTCATGACAATAATAACAGCAGCGAAAACATAACCAGCAATAGTTTTAGACATTGGTGGTACTATTAAAAGAAGGAGGAACAGGAGTTATCGGTGCCTAGAAATGCGTTTGTTTGTACCCGTCATCTTATTTAAATCACGGATTCCCCACTGGGTAGTACTTGTGTCCTCTTCACCTTGTATGTGAAGAAAATGAAGCACAGAAGGTCGATCTTGCCTCAGGAGACGGGGCGTGTGAGGGAGAGGACCCAGCGTTCGTTTCAGCGCTGTGATAGTAACACGGCGCCCTGCTCCTCCTCCAGGGCCCAGGGAGGACAGCGACACCTGCTGGGAAAGGGGGACACTTGGCACAAAAGTGGGTGGGTTACTGCATCTTTCCTTTGACCCCCCCCCACCCCCAGGTCATCCCGTTTGCTGCTGACTGCGACTCGGATGAGTGCACCTGCCGAGACCCCAAGGCAGAAGAAAATCAGTAACCGTGGGATCGAGCCCCTCAGTCCTCCGTGGAAGGAAGCAGAGGCAAATGAAGAAGAAAGTTCACAAAATAAAGGAAGGAGGAAGCGCACGAAGGAGCTTAGAAGGAGGGCAGGAGGGTGTTTCTAGGTGCCGACTGTCACAAAATAAAGGAAGGAGGAAGCGCACGAAGGAGGGCAGGAGGGTGTTTCTAGGTGCCGACTATTGCATCGAGTAGCTAAAGTAGGGAAGAATCATAGGCACAGGTTTCTTCAAAGAGGCAGTTGATTAAAAGTAGGGGAAACACAATAGAGGTACAGAGACCCTCCTTCTTCATTTATATTCCGTCCAACCCCATCCTCAACTCCTGCCCTGCTCTGTACTCTGCACCCTGCCACCTCTTCAGCCCTACCCAACTTGTAAACCGATACCAAAATGCTAGACGAGAAGTAGCCAGGGACACTCTCTTCGTACCCATTTTAAATGAATTGTCACCTTTCGGGGCTCGTCTACTCTAAGCTGGCTCTCCCCCTGTCTTTTGGGTAGTCTTCTTTAGTGACGATGCGGTTAGTTATTCTTTATAAGTATTTAAACATAATTATACAAATATATATATTTTTGCCGTCTACTAAGCTAAAAATTATCCATTGTTCCACACATGCTGCTGTGACGTTCACATCCAAAGTGAATGCTGGGGGTTGCAGGACGGACAGATAAGTCCTGCCATCTTTCTGTGCTGGGGATTGGCAGGTTGAGAGAGATCGGATGGAGTTCTTGATGTTAGCGTGTCAGCTAATCTTTTGATGGGCTGGGAGCTGGGCCCACTTTGAGAAGATGGGGGGTTGGAATGATGACTCTCAGAGGCATGGGAAGTCGGGTGGGAGGATCCATCGGGGATGGTTCTGGGAGGACTAGACTGTGGCTCTTGAGTGTCTATCCAAAAAGACTACATTAGCTTCTTCTCGCTTCTCCGAAGTCTTAGCTGGAGTTGGTGAGACCCAGCGTTTTCCACGCGTCCATATGTGCTGGTTCGAGTGTGGCACTCTGCCAGCCTGTCAGTCAACAAGTTCGTATTAGGGCGCATCCTCTCATCACCAGAATTACAGCAACTCACACATTTCTCATCCTTGGCCTGGAGTCTCACGCCTTCTGAGTCCCCAAGCCTGGCCATCATTCACGGCCACATGGCCAATTGTTGATTTTCTGGGGAAGAAAATGATATGGAAATGACATAGGGGAAAGGCAGGAGGAGATGGAAGACCAGAGACACAGGAGCCCAGGGAAGCCATCGAGGGGGGAGGGGCCAGGGACACGTCGGGCCCAGGGCAGGAGGTTGAGATGCCTCAAGGAGACTGGGCCTTGTTCCAAGTCTCCAAAGCAGACCAAAGGTATCCTTGAATAACACAGAATCTGAGGTGAATTCTATTCGAGTGCAACGTGTCAAATCCGTGACCCAGAGATTTCGATCAGAGCAAGCTACAGAAACACGTGGAACAACGGTGACACTCTGTGGGCAGAGAGAAGAATTTCCATTATGTAGGGTCCATTTGGTTGTTCTTTCTCGTTCGGTAGATGGGCTGCACCTTCCGTGACCACTCTAGCCCGCCTCTGGTTCCATCCCAGGCTTACTATTTTTTTGGCACGAGGTCTGTTGTAGTTACGTGTCTTGGTAACAAGTTCTAAGTTAGGCCTTGGAGAAAGAGAGTAAGGAGCTAATTTCTTGTCCGGCCCCCCAGTGCATCATCTCAGGAAGGGCTTGAAGCTTGCCTCCCTCAAAGCTGCTTCTCCAACGGAAGCCAAAAACAGGCAAAAATGAGGGTGCAGCCTTGGCCGCCGTCGGTGGCCGCCTTCGGTTCTGATCACGAGTTTTCTATTCTCGATCGGCACTGAAGCAATGGCTTTGCAAAGAGGAAGAGGAAATGTTATCCGCCATTATCTTGAGCCAGACTTCATATAGGAAAGAATATTCTGGAAGGGAATGAACGAGATGGAGGGATCCACACGCGTTTGTCTGTGGGTGTGAAG